CACGCATACAGGTCAGGAGAACCAACCTACTGAGAGGATACCGGGTCAAGAGCAGGAATTCGGGGAGGCCACGGAGACAAGGGTGGGCTAGGCACGATCGCTACTTAGGACCAAGTTTTGAAGATCGAGTGAGGATCAGCACGAGTGTTCGAGCCAGCGACCTGGAGCAGAATGCTGGTCCACCTCAATGTGCACCCCGTATACATTGTATCATACCCCACCCCCCTCCCCCAATTTTCTACTCCACCCCCCCCCTTGTTTTTCTTTTTTCTTGAAATTTCTTCCCCTTTTTTTCTTTTTTTCTTTTTTCCTTTTCAGTATCCCCATATGTACCCCCCTTTTTTCCCGTCCTTTTTGTCCTTCCTTCTGATCTTCTTCCTCACTTTTGTTCGTTTTTTCTTTTTTTCTTTTTTTCGTTTTTTCGTTTTTCGTTTTTTCCTCCTTTTTTTCTCTCGCTTTTTTTCTTTTTTCTCTCCTTCTTTCCTTGATACTCTCTTTTCTTTTTTCCTTTCCCCCCCCCTTTTTTTCTTTCCTGCTTGATACATCTCTTCGCTCCCATTACCTTTCCCAAACTTTTTTGTAGACTGCATAGGTAAGGCCGACACGGTTGTATTCCTGCTTGAAGCAGATATGCCTCTATGGATTTGGCTCGCAACTCGGGTTCAGTACGAGCCCGAGGAAAAACTTTTTTCTGGCGCCAAACAGTTATTCGCAATTTGCAATTCAGGCTCGGTTTCCTGCGCGCACGCAAGCTTCAGCATGAATGAGACCAAGCGCATCACGGGTACTTAAGCAGAATAGCAAGGCCAAGGGTGATATTTCCAAGCTCTTCATTTGCTTTAAGCAACGTGAACGGAACCTCTAGACGTTCCGCTAAGACCACAGGAGGCGCGGCGCTTGCCGAGGACTATTCGGCGTTTTCCTGCGACTATTCTGCCAATCGGGAGATTAGTCGAGACTCTGGAATGGACTTTCACATCGATTCGGGCTACGAGGACTTCATCGAGTCCGAAGAAGGGGTATCGTCGTGACACAACCATGAAGCCTAGCGGTCTGGACCCGCTGGCACTCCTTGTGCTCCGCTCACTCGCACTTTGCTTAGCGCTCGTTCTGAATCTTCTCATCCGAGCCGTGCTTTGCTGGGCTTGCCAGACAGAATGCATAATGCTTTCCCCCTCGCTGCGCTTCTCCAGCCTCATCCGCACAATCGCCTTCTTCTTCGCTGCCCTTAGCGCTATTTGCACCTTAGCACTCATCACTGCTGCACTACTCCTTCATGACTTGCTGCTGTGACGAGCTGGCGATAGTGCTGCATGCTCGGTACTAACCAGGGATAGTCTCGCAGCATGGCGGAAGATAGGGGGTATGAAAGAACGTCGATGGAGCTTTCATCCTGTGCTTTCTTGGCGTATCTGGCGCTTCTTTCCTTCCTAGCACTACTTTTCTTCCTCGCCGCCCTCCCTTATGCAGGCATGCATGCGCAAATCAATCCTCCGCTCCTCCCACATTCATCACGCTTGCAGCATAACCAGCCACTGGATCATGGCGCCTCGGCTTCCCCTCGCAGTTCGTGTTCGACTTGTCCCTCCGCAAGTACTCGCCCTCCTACTTCCCCCCACTGCAAAACCTCGGTCTCTTGCTCCTCCTCCCCCCTTACCCCCTCCAACCCCCGCGCACCTCACTCTCGGCCTTCTGGCAACAAAGGAAGGTCTCCCCTCTGATGACGCCGCCAGTGGCAGGCGGCAGAAAGGCCTCAAGGATGTGCCACCCTGCCTGTGGATCTGCTGTGTTGTCCTTTGTGCATGGGTGCAGAAACAGGGACACGGAATAGCACGGTGCAGGTTTCTATGTTCTGCGTCTTCTTCATCCCTCCTCTCCCTTCCCCCCTTTTTTTCCTCCCTACCCAACTCCCCCTTCTCCTCTTTTCTTTTGTAAATTTTTGCATTGCTCTGACTCTCTCACGATCGGAACCATATACTGCAATATTGGGAAGCCGAACAATCTTTTGAAGCGCCAGGTAACTTGTTTTGAAAACTTTGGTGTAATTCAGCGTGCTTTTTTTAATTTTTGATGAATGATGAGTATTGGTGTCTTATCCTTTCTTCTTGGTTTGCTATTTTGGGTAGACGGCTTACGACTTGACAAGTGTGAGAAACGATCAATTTTTTTTACAGAACTTCATTCTCACAATCTTCACTCTGTCCGTTGCTATGCCCAACTCCTTATAGCACCCAACTTGGTTAACCCCCCCTCGCCCAATGTCCACATTGATTGGCTCTCATCCTCGGTATGGCGATCACCCTTCCAGTAACGAGAACTGCAGTGATCCGAGTAATCCGGACTGTTCTCTACTAAAAGGGCCATTGCCCCCTCAATCTGCGTCAGCATTTGCTTTGTAAACTTGCTGTGTCGCTTCTTCCCACTTGGTCCGAGTCGGTAAAAAGAGTATCCTCAGTAGCAATCCCCTCACCGCTAAACCTGATGCTCGTTGTTTACACCCCTCTCGCCTGCCT